ATAGCCCGTAGAAGCAACTAGAACATTATTATATATCTCATACGAAATGGGAGTCCCAGATAGATTATTCGGAGCGCCAGATCACCTTACATAGATCCATCGAATCCACTTTCTGGATCATTTTCTGGATCTGATGATCCCTTAGATCGGTCTAGGGATACGCCCATTCGAAACAATATCCCAGGGAGCTCCTTTACAAGCATGCCTGTCCTAACCAGGGTATCCATTATTCCAGCCCCGTAGCCGCCAGTACCAGCACTCTGAAGAATAGAGAATACAGATCGACGTGCAACCGTTCCTATAATAGAATGCATGTATGATGCGAGAGTACCTAAGCATAAGGTTTAGCTACTGAGTTGATAAAGTGGCCGAGCATACCAACCTGGTCCGATTCCTCCTGCAAAACCCAGCAGATTCAGTGGTGGCCACCAGATGGGCCAAGGGGCCACCATGACCACCCTACCAGCAACATCCCATGCAGCTCTAAATATGGTTCCAACTGGGTCCCTCTCAATGTGCTCCTGTGCCTGCGCAATCCATGCTTCGGCTGTGCTAATACTATCACCACACTCATTCATAATGTCATCTGCTGCAATGTTCAAGTGGAAGCCGGGTGCCTTGAAAATAGTAGGCCAACGCGGGCCTGGAGCGCTATCATTGCCCTTGAAGATTCCCTCCACGCCCCTTTTGGCAATGTCAAGATGGAATCCTGGCGCTTCGAAAATTGTTGGCAAACGCGGCCCCGGAGTGTTATCGTCCCCTTTGAACACTCGTTCTATATCCCTTTTAGCAATGTTGATATGAAAGTCTGGTGCCTCGAAAATAGTCGGCCAACGCGGGCCTGCGACAGCTGGAGGTAAGTTTGCACCACAGCTGGAGAAATGCAAGGGGAAGACTAAAAATAGCAGAACTAAACAAGTCGCGACTGCCATCGTGGCTGGTTATAATGCCTGCTGGATTAATAGGCTTAAAATGGTAGAAGCAGACAAGAATATCTACGTGATCTCGTTTGGCTGGAAAGCGGGGAAATAATGAAGTGAGGCAGGATGATATCATATTTACATCCCTCGTATGCGCTTATCAGACCTATCGATAGTATATACACATGTACCCAATTTATTGGGGTGTTTACTAGATACTGCTTGTTGGTGCCTGGTAAGACTGAGAGTGCATTACTTTACAGTAGCGAATGACATAAGACATATGCAGGGGAAAACCAACGAAAAATCACGAAATTAGGCCTAACTAATAAACTCCCCCTGTGCGTTGATCACACACACTGTAACAACATATGTCCCAAAAGCCTACATCTAATTCCTCTTCGTAATCAACAAGAATAATCGAGATTTTCAGGTTGTTTTCATCATGGGCTTCGCTATGTCCTATTTATATTCAATATCCCAGTGAAGTAAATCCCGCGGTAAACCGGGTGTGGCTACAGAGAATCCGATCACGGGAATGACCAGTTCACAGTTCTCATGATTTCGGCGTTTCGTGTTGCTATAGAAAAGTTAATCAAAATTATGTTAGAGAGAAGACGCGATAGGCAATGAAGAAATACAGAATAACTGTAGAATCGGAGTTGAACAAAGACTCAAGTAGAGATTGTCCATTGGAATCTGCTATCAGTATTTGATGCAGCATGACCCCAGGCTACAACTCAACTAAAAGAAAAGGAAATAGAACTTGTTCAAGAAAGAACCCGTCAAATCTACACCGTAGTTGGTCTAGACTTCTCTGGGATATATAATACGATAAGACCTACTTCTTTAAGAGCTAGGAAGAGTATCACTTCAACTAATAGGTTTCTTTGGTCTCTAAAGGTTTATTATCCTCCTCGTCCTTATTCAGGTTCAAATTGGCCGGTATATCTATAATATCCCAAGCACCGGTGTGTGCAGCGATAGAATAGTTCAAGGACAATATTCTCTATGCTATGTATTAGAATTCCTTGCCATAGTCAGGGTTCTCCTGCCACCTTCACTCAATTAGGTAACAACATGCAAACTCTACTAGTATGTAGTTCATAGGCCTGCCATCTTTCATGGCTAAACTTTAACCCCTCTAGAGCTAGCCTCGGACCTAGGCTGTAAGATTATAGTTTATATATTTAGCCCCCTTAATTTATTGCATAAATTATTTTTAAATATTCATAAACAACAACTAATGCGGAATTCTACTCAGAATAACTACTTCTAGATGATTTAAACTGCGTTATTCAAACGTAGCAAGTTATGATATTATAACAGTTTAACCTTTAAGATGCACTTCTAGCAGAGTTTAGACTTTATTCTGGACCCTAATAAAACTGGGCAGGCTTATCCTAACCGTGGAGAGAGTTAAGGTTTAGCCCCAAAAGGCGAAGATCTGCATAGTGGGTATATAATATATTTCATAAAATCGTACTCTCAGCTTATAACAGCCAAGGTAAATCAGGCGCAGCTGCTCTCTAAAACTTCCCTACACACATGCAGCAACGCTAGGGACGTTCTGGCAGGACGCGTATTTCTTGCCGCCGGTAACAGCCACGCCGGACCAGGTCCACCCGGTGCAAGCGCCGCTGCCGCAGACAATGACGACGTTGTAGCCGCTGCTCGTCACGCCGCTAGTGCCGGTAATGCTCTTGACCGTGAGGCCGGTGATGGGGACGCCGCTGGTCGGGTCACCGTGCAGGTCACCTCCGTCGTAGTTTTGCTCGATTAGAATACCGTATCTATTAGGAAGTAAGGTTAGCTTATATGTCGAGAAATAAAGTCGTTTACAGTCCTCGGTAGGTGGCCCTGGGCCTCTAGTCTGAAAAGGAACTTAACACATACCCAGAAATGTTAGATAGGGTAATGCCGCTGTAGGTGACCCCTGAGATGGTACCTGTGGCACCCTCGACGGCTTTAATCCGAATGCCTGCAAATTACACATTAGCAACTATGTTTGTTATAACTCCAAGTGTAAAGCGACGAAGGGGCCTTCGTACCATTTACCGAGTTAGTCACAGTTGAAGACTCAAAAACGACGTTCGAAACAGTGTTGTCCGAACGACCTCCAACCGAGCCAATAGACAGGCCGTGGCCTCCAGAGCAGAGGCCTCCAGAGAATGTGATATCCTGTATCGCCATGTTAGTCCAATTTAATACGCATCGTCGCGGTAATCCCACATACCGTTCCGGAGTTGACAGCAACGCAGTCGTCCTGGTTATAGACCTTGGCGCCAGTAATAGTCACGTCCGAGCTAGAGCCGATATCGAAGCCGTCCGTGTTGTGGCCGCCACCCGCATCGCCAGCAGAGTTATCGATGACCATGTTCGTCACGGTTAGGCCCTCGCAGCCATTTATACTGACGGCCTGCACGGGCGTGTTCTTGATGTTCAGGTTGACGATGGAAGAGGAACCGGTCAAGTCGTGGGCGTAGAAGAACTTGGGCTTCGTCTTGCCGCCATTGCTTCCTTCGCCATCCCACCACTGGGCACCACCGCCGTCCAGCACGGAACCGCTCGCTCCTGTGATGGTGATGTCCTTTCCCTCGATCTGGAGGAGAGGACCAGCCCATTCCTTATAGCCCCAGGTTGTTGTTCCTTCGAAGATGACCTATAGGAGGTTCAGATGATTAGTTTCACATTACGTTAGTTGGGGGGTTACATGGCATGGTATCATCTTACATGGGTGCCATCTGCCAGATCAGAGAGATCTAGGGTGGTACCTGATGGTACCGCAACACTGGATAAGACGATGGTAGCACATGATGCCTGGGACTTGCTAGCTGAAGATGCGCCAGCAGATCCGGAAAAAGTGCAGCTGGCACGTTTCTGTAAGACGTTGTCTAGAGAGGGCCCAGGGGTTATAGCGGGCGCAGCGACGGGCTCAGCAACAGGACTCGAGAGAGTACCAGCGGCCCCTAGGGCAACGAGGAGAAGAGCGGAAGATAGGGACATCATGTTGCCGAATCTAGGGAAATGGATGCTAGCAGTCGGCTTAGGGTAGGACGACAAGCTTCACGGCATGCATTTGCAACTACTTGGCATCTTGGCTGGATGAATGGTCTTCTTATAACAAAGCATTCTCATCTATGAGTATACTCCGTACCTCGGTGTATAGTCCTCTCTCTCAGACTGCGACGCCATGTTTCGACTGGTAAGGTCAGTTCAGGTACCAAGATCCGGCCTCCGTCACCTCCGTATCTGATCGAGTGGAAAATTCAAGAGAAACTCCTCCAATGGAACGAGTGTTCATCGGTGACCGGAAATTGGCCGCCTCATGCGCGGATCTTTTCCTCCCCGGTGGAACTCCCCTTTTTTATTTCGAAACGTATACCCACCATGTATAATAACACGGAGATCATATGTTTCTTTGATGATCACTTTACCTAATACATCAACGGGTAGATTATGGGCCTCACGATTCTCAAAATATCCACCTTCCTCGAGCTAATAGTCATGTTAGTTTTCTCACCATATTACTGTACAATGTAGACGGCGCCATGTCGAAACCGCTTGAGAGTTTAGTACGCTTTTTTACAGATCGGCCCTTTAGTAAGTATTGCTTGAGACGATAATTCCGACCAGGTTCAAGCCTAACGCAAAATCATCCACCAATGAAGATTGTACAGGGTTGGTGGACCGGGCCCTGTCTCAAATGCGGCAATGCCCCCACAGGCCATTTACACCAGGACGATCGAGACGCGCCTCGAGGTTGTGTATGTAATGCTGAGCTATAACTTACCTTCACACTTATTCCATATAAGAAATGAGCGGATAAATATACAGACTATCCGGGCGAGCTTTCGGCGAGCATATCATACAATTATTACAATTATACACAAAGTTGTTTGTGCCGAATACAGCAGGGTGGTGCACCACTAGGTGTCGTGGCGCGCTCTTAGGTAATAGGCGCCATTTGGATTCCCGACATCGATGCCGAGCCGAGCCCGTAGTGGTGCGATAATACAACCATTTCCCGTCCGGAATCACATCCGCGGTGAATGACTAAGCTTCATGCGCTGAAACGATGGCGAAATGGCCGAGTGGTTATGGCGGTGGTCTCAAGAGTTAACTCTTACGCTATCTAATAGCGCAGTATGCCACTGGAGCAATCCTCAGGGGTTCGAATCCCCTTTTCGTCAGACTTAATTTTTTCGTTTCTATACTCCTTTCTTAAGTGGTATTTCAATCTGCATTGAATTTTTGATCTACTTTTTTTGGTAGGGCTTAATGACATGGACCACTCGTCTTGGTGCCAGCGCTACCCACAGGTAAAGTAATTATTTGACTGACTGTCAATTAATTGACCCAATCCAGTCCAAATAATCGTTTTAAAATTAATTGCAAATAAAGTAATAATTCTTTACCTGACTTGTTACTTGTTAATTACTTCTAATTAACTTTTCTATTTTTTTTTAAATATTTTTTGTTGTTTTTTTGGTAAAAAGGAAGCCTTCTTTTTTAGGTAGGCTAAGTGGCACATTGTTTTTAAACCTACTTATTCAGCTACATACACAGCTACTTACCTAGCCACTTACCTAGCCACTTACTAAGCCACTTACATCTACTTAGCTTACATTCTACTTACTAACCACTCTACCAACTACTTTACCTACCACTCTACCTACCACTCTACCTACCACCTACCTACTTACTTACTTATTTACTTACCTACTTATTTACTTACTTACTTACTTACTTACTTACTTACTTACTTACTTACTTACTTACACCTACCTACCTACCTTGCTTTCTACAATCTGTACGCTTTATGTACATTGCTTGAGTTACTTGGTCAATTAACTTGATCAATCCAGTCAATA